ATTTTACAGTAATTATACAATTCAGCAAGAAATAATCCCTTTTCTATATTCAATTTGATTTGTTTTCATTCGGTCTCTCTGGCAACAATGGTTTATGTGGAATACCATCTCTACCATCATATCATATCATATGTTTTGGGAGCATGGCAGAATATTGACTAGGGGTAAAATTATAATAAGCTTGCCATGTCTCTTTGTTTTGTGTATGGTACCTGCTGCTATATATCTACATCAGGAGGAAAAGGAAAGATTATGACTTTGGTCTACCTGAGGAATTAATGTGTAGTATGCTTTCAATGAGATCCTGTTTCTGTAGAGCATTTTTATTTATAATATTTCCGGTACTTCTGGCGTTGCACATAGCACCTGCCATAATTTTTATATTGTCTTTCACTCAAAATGTTTAATTTGAGCCATTTAAATTCCAGCCAATGACAAGAGATGATTATTTTTACACGGACTTTGGATATAAATCCTGTCCTACTACTTGTTGATTATTTTTTATGAATGGTTATCCGAATAATCGATTCGAGTACTCTTATATTCGTTATTATGGTTCTTCTAAAATTATTTTCTCAATTCTCATAGCTTAAATTCGAAACCTCTACTTAGAGGTCGTTTGTTTAAACTTTTAGAAAAAATAACTTTTATCACTTTCTTATTTTAAAAGTATTTTTTGCAAAATTTAAAATTATTTATATTTTTATAAAAATATTTAGATTTTGAAAAAATTATTTAGATTTTGAAAAAAATATTTGGCTTTCGACTTCTACTTTTCTTAAAAGTTAAAATTTTTAACTTCTGAAAAAAGTAGGTTTTTGGCTTTTTTTGTGACTTCTCCTTTTTTAAAAGCAGACATCCAAACGAACTAAAAACGAGAAGTGCTTTTTTCTTGAAAAAAAGCAACTTTTGAAGGAAAAAAAGCTCATCCAAACGAGCCCTTAAAAGAAAATCACTTATGTTATATTTGATAAAGGAGAAATTTTTTTATTTTTGAAAATCACGATTCCTAAAAATATGCTAGGAAAGTGAATTTCTCAGGAATGTTAAAAAAAACTATTTGATAGGCCAAAATATTTCCAATAATGTTAGCTCAAATTTTCTGATTCTATGTTTTGTTGATTGTCAATGATTTATAGGAATGTAAGCTGATTTTACAAAGCTAATATTTGATTAATTTTTGAAAAAAAAATTGATATCCACAAAAGAGATAAAATGCGACGTTGGGGTAACTGAAGCAAATCGGCACGAAGCAAAGAGGAACCTAGTAAAAAGGCATCTTGAAAGAGAAGAGGAACTCATGCTTTTGTGAAGTAAATTAAGCTAGAGCTTTTACAAGATAGGGTATTTTAGTCATGAAAATATTAAAGCAGAGTTATTTATATTCTATAAATTATGTAAAAAAATTCACCAAGTGAAAATCTAAAAGTACCACTCACCCGGTAATATTATTTTAATGAGATTCTTATTCAAAATGTTAATTCTCAGAAATCTCATTTTCTTAAAAAAAAAAATTAAAATCTTTGTATCAAACGTGAATAACTAAGATTCCCAATATGTATTTTCTAGGGATCTAAAATTTATCCGTTAAATCTCATTATTAACTATTTTATGGCTTCTTTTGTTGCGTTAGCTACCAAGAGAAACCAATGTGATGGTTCTTGGGTGGGTGGAGAATCAATACTCCAAGGGATTACAGTCACCTATTACACTACAATAATCGTAGATGGGTTTTTTTCCAACTAGAAGCAGTCTTTTTCTCTTATATAAAAAAGTGATTTTTATTTAATGCATATATTTATATGCAATTTTCTCACAAAATAAAATTAAAAAGAGTTAATTTAAAAAAAAAATCAATTTTCCCCCTCTCTCTCTCCCCGACCACTCCCACCTCACCCTCACGATTATTATCATGTCATTTTCAATATTTTTATATATAAAAAATATTTTTAATTTAATAACAAAACAATTTTTTCATTTAAAAATCATTTTTTTATATATTTACATAGGGGTAGGATATACTAACCACCAAAAAATTTTACCACTCTTACAACCAATTTAATCACCGTTGATTTTCGTCAATCTAACAGTTATAATTTATTGAAAATTAATAACATTTATTGAGTCACACTTATTAATTAATTATTAATTTTCAATAAATTATAATCGTTAGATTGACGGAAATCAACGGTGATTAAATTGGTTGTAAGAGTGGTAAACTTTTTTGATGGTAAGTATATTCTGTCCCATTTACATAAACGCAAAAAAAAAAAAAAAAAATTAATTTATAAAAAATTGAAACAGTAATATATAAAAAATTGTTTTTTGAAAGCCCATACAAATAGGCTTTTATACCTTTCGGTGAATACGTGATGGGAACAGCCCATTAATGTATACAATTTGAGCCACCAGTTAGTGTCCACAAGTTATGAGTGATTGAGCTTCATAGTACCATGTATGGTCCAAGCTTTGCGATACATTGATTTACTTTAAGTAAGGACCGAGATCTTCTACATTTTATAAAAAATTGAACTGACTGATTACAAGCTGCACGGGATGCAGTTTGTGAGCATGATAGAGAAAATTGCCTACCCTTTTCTCAAATAAATGCTTCTATTTGATTTGTTCACTTTACCTAAAACTACGAGTTAAAAAAACAAAGGTATGATCAAGTTTCACCCTATCAATGAGTTTTTATCTTGCATTTAGTTTGAGTTAATAATCTGAATTAGTAAAAACCAAAAAAAATAATATTTTAAATATTATAAAAAAATATAAAAATTTAAATGTAATGAAAAAATAAAATAAAATATTTGTTAAACATTACCAAAAAAAATAAGTTAGTGATATTTTTAAAATGTTGTGAAAAAATTAGCAATATTTTTGAATATTATTATTGATAGGCTAAAGTGTTGTTGAAAGCTTTTGGTGATGTAATCTTAATATATAAAGTCAATATTTATGGTCTCAAATAAAATCGAGGACAGGAATTGAGTTATATAATTTGTTTTAATTAAATCAATATAAATTTAAGTATAATATATTTGAGTAATTAAGAATATTGTAAAATTTATATTTCAAGTAATTACGTGAAAAACACTTTAAAAAAGGGAAAAAATTTCTATCCTAATTTAGATATATTTATCTAATTGGAAGACGAATCAACTATAATGAATCAAGTTCAATTCAAAGTATAATAATAGAATTTATTTTACTGTTATATAAAAATTCATTCAAACCCTATTCTAGCTAGATTCACGCCACCCCAATTATCATTAGATAACTATTCCTCTATAGTATACTCTAATAATATCTATTGTATTTAACGCGATTCAATTCTAAACCCCAAAGTACGGGTCTTCAATTATCTCTATATAATCGTTCCCCTATTATTAACCCCAACAATAATTAAAAGTAAAATAAAAAACACAAAATAACAACTTGAGAGTTACTTTACATGCTTCTCATCAATATGTAAATAAGTACAAATCAAACTAAGGAGGTGGACTTGATTAATCTGTTCAAGTCTTAATTGATAAATTATTTTAAATTTGTGTTTGAGAAGGAATACTCACAATATACATTCAAACGTGTAAATTCTAGCTCTTGAATGCAGATTTTTTTTCTCCTGAATGCTCGCTTTTGTATCTTGAATGAGCACTGTCGAAAGAAAGATTCAATATGATTTTTCCTCCAAACCAATTATCTATAAAATTACCAAATTATTGCATTGAATATGTTTTCAAGGTCATCATGATTTAAAAAAAAAATCTTTTTAAAAAATGTAATCAATTTTTTTAAAAATGTATGCATTAAAAGGGAATAATTATTTTATCAGGTTTTATCAAATTGATTTTTTTTTTTAAATCAAAATTCAAATCTTAAAAATCTGTTTAGTAAGAACTTTTAATTTTCTTTTTATCTTCCTTCCTTTGTTTTTATAATTTTAAAATAATGCAATCCAAGACATGATAAAGATTTACCTCATTTAATGAAATTTAAGATTTTATATTGCAACTTCTATTTTCATAATTTTATAATAATTTTATTAAATTCATTTCTTCATAATTCATCACATATTAGAGCTTACAATAAATTTTCAAAAATTCAAGAAATTATTAGTAGATTTCACCTCATTTATTATTATTAAAACTATACAAGTGGACCCACCCAACACCTACCCCCATTCCTTTGAACCCGCTTTGCCATTTGCTCCTATAGTACCTATTGAATCTCCTTGCAAAACGAATAATCAAAATTGTATTTGGACAATATGATTGATACTTGAGTTTAAATTAAAGTTTCGGATATTGTAGGTGTTTAAATTATGGAAAAAGTGTTTGTCATTTTAAATGACATAAAGTTATGTCATTTTAAGAGAGAGACAGACACAGAAATTTTTTTTATTTAAATTTTAAATTAAAAAAATCACTCACTTTCTCTCTCCCATGATTTCTATTTTTCTGTGTCTATCTCTCTACTAAAATGACATAACTTATGTCATTTAAAATGACAAACACCAAACCCTTAAATTATATATATATATATATATATATATATATATATATATATATATATAAAAGTGTGCGGTCGTGTGTGGTGCTATGTGAGGAGAAAAAAAAAGGAAAAAAAAAATAGGCTCGAAACATTTTAATGCATGTATCTTGTAGCATGTAATGTATATATATATATATATATAAAATTAATGGATTAATGATTTAGCTAATTAGATGTTTGGTACCTGAAGCAATCAATCCGCCGTGTTGGGACAACGGACCGACAACCTCAGTGTTGATTGATTGCATCCTAAAAAATAAAATTACACGACTAATCAAGTCATGACTTTCCAGTGTAGCGTAGGGGGATCGATCACAACCTAACAGTCTTTCGATATATACATGCCATTCAAAATGAACTCTGCGCATCACTATAAAATAAACCGCATTCTATTCAATTTTATACATCATATATATCTAAGCTTGTTAATTACTTTCACCAAAATGAGCTGCGATTCCGATGTGGTTCATGTGTTCCTCGTATCATTCCCCGGCCAAGGCCATGTGAACCCTCTTCTGAGGCTTGGGAAGCGCCTGGCCTCAAAAGGTTTGCTTGTCACCTTTTGCACACCCGAAAGCTGGGCCAAACACATGAGAAAGGCAAGCCACATCTCCGACGAGCCAGCCCCGATCGGCGACGGGTTCATGAGGTTCGAATCGTTCGAAGATGGGTGGGATGAGGATGAGCCGAGGCGTAATGACTTGGATGAATATCTGCCTCAACTGGAGTTAGTTGGAAAGGAAGTCCTCCCTCTCATGATCAACAAGCATGCCCAACAAGGCCGACCCGTCTCGTGTCTCATCAACAACCCTTTCATTCCTTGGGTTTCCGACGTGGCAGAAGCCCTCGGCCTCCCTTTCGCCATGCTTTGGGTTCAATCCTGTGCTTGCCTCTCTGCATACTATCATTACTACCACAAATTAGTCCCTTTCCCATCCCAAGCTGACCCCGAAATCGATGTTCATCTCCCTTGTATGCCTCCTTTGAGATACGATGAAATCCCGAGCTTCTTGTATCCAACCACTCCCTGCCCCTTCTTGAGAAGGGCAATCATAGCACAGTTCAGCAACTTGGATAAATCTTTTTGTATTTTGATGGACGCATTTCATGAGCTGGAGCAAGACAACGTTGACTACATGTCCAAGATTTGCCCTATTATTAAGACGGTGGGGCCCTTGTTCAAGGCACCGAACACAAACACTTTACGTGGTGATTTCTTGATGGCTGATGACTGCATCGATTGGCTTAACTCAAAGCCAACCTCTTCCGTTGTGTATATATCATTTGGCAGCGTGGTGTACTTGAAACAGGACCAAGTTGATGAGATCGCTCATGGCCTTCTTGAATCAGGAGTTTCGTTCCTGTGGGTCATGAAGCCGCCGAATAAATATTCTGGGCATGACCCACTCGTGCTTCCTGATGGGTTCATGGAGAAAGCTGGGAACAAAGGAAAAGTGGTGAAATGGAGTCCTCAGGAGCAGGTTCTGGGTCACCCCTCTGTGGTTTGCTTTGTGACACACTGTGGGTGGAACTCTTCTATGGAGGCAATCACCTCTGGAATGCCGCTTGTTGCCTTCCCACAGTGGGGAGACCAAGTCACCAACGCCAAGTACTTGGTGGATGTGTTCGGAGTGGGTGTTAGAATGTGCAGGGGTGAAGCTGCAAATGAATTGATCACCAGGGATAAGGTTAAGCGCTGTTTGTTGGAGGCAATCGCTGGCCCCAAAGCGGAGGAGATGAAACAGAATATGCTCAGGTTGAAGGCGGCAGCAGAAGCGGCGGTGGCCGAAGGTGGTTCTTCTGACCGGAATATCCAAGCATTTGTGGATGAAGTAAGCAAGAGAAGCATAGAAATTAAGAACAAGCATGCCGTTGCCGTTGCTGTTGCTGTTGCTGCTTCTGTCAACAAGCCACTGGAATATTAATTAAACATTTAACGGATCTTTTAAATTTGTAATTTAAATTTATAATATAAAACTTTAGCCATCCTGTACTTCTTTTTTTAAATTTGTTATATATTTATAAATTTTTCTTTAAATTTTATTTTTACAATTTGTAATAATAAATATGGAGGAAGTTATACTTACTACATTTTTTTCTCACTAATTCTTACTATCAGATCTTAACTGTTGATTTCCGTCAATCTAACAGTTATAACTTATTGGATCACACTTATTAATTAATTATTAATTCTCAATAAATTATAACCGTTAGATTGATGGAAACCAACGGTTAAAATTTAGTAGTAAGAAAAAAGATAGTAAATATAACATTTCTCAATAAATATATATATTTAAATAAGTCTATGCAAAACAACTTTCTTAATTAGTTGAGTCCTGAGACATTCAATATATACGAAAACATATTTTAAATCCTACAATAATGTACACTTTGTAACTTTCCCATTCCTTTTTTCCTATATGTGTGGGTTTAATTCTTGTTAGCTTTCCAAAGACTCACTCATGTAATATGATTTTCTCTTGAAAAAAATAAATACTTGAATAATATTAATGTAATCATTTTAATTTACATATATTTCATTGGAAATATATTTTTATTGGGGCAGATTAATTTATATTGGTATAAAAATAAAAAAATTGTACCTAATTTTAATTGTTGATCTTATTTTTACCTAATAATTTTAATTTATTAATTATGTGAGTTATTAAAAGCAAGTACGATCAATAACTAAAATTGTGTTAAAAACTTAATTGTTTCTGTCTTTTTTATTTATTTATATTAATAAGATTAACACATGGTTCCCCAATTTTTTAATAAATATACAAAATATAATATAGTAAGTAAAGATTTTGTTTAGTATACGATGTTTTCAAGGAAAATAATTATAGTTGAGATTGGATCATAAAATTATTTTCTATGCCTGAGAAATTTAATTGGCATGTTAAAATAAATATAATGATATTTTTTATTTAAATTATGCATATATCTAAATATATTATAAGAAAATAAAAAAAAATAAAAAAAAATAATATAATTATTAAATGTAAATATGTTCTATGATATTATAAATTTGTATAAAACTTTTAACTAAATATTAACTTCAAAATATCTCAATTATATATTTTTTAAATAAAATAAAATAATTTAAATAGTCAATAAATATTTATTTGTCGATTAAAAAATTATAATTACAAAAAAAAAAAATTATAATTACAAATATTTAGTTTAAATAATTACACAATGTACAGATAAAACAAGTAATATAAATTGTATATTGCTCATCATTGTAAACATTAATTCATGTGCGATGATACCCCTTTTTCTTTTTCTTTGTTTTTGGGAGCATGCATGTATGTAATTGACAAATTATAATGCAGGCACAAGAGCAGCCGCGTTTTGCTTTCGGTATAATTCGGTTTTATTTCTCGTGTCAGGTAGGTAAGTGAAATTTTATCTTCTGCTCTTATTTTGATTTTCGTATTATGTATTTTTTTCTTTTCATTTTTAAAAACTTAAGTGGGTTTCACCATTTATTATAAGAGCAAGAGAGAAGATTTATTTTATGTGATATAAGAAAAATATTTTTTTTTTAATTTATTAATTCTAATTCGAGTTTTTATTACCCAAGTCGATTCACGTCTCGATAACTCGTCATAATTCGGGTGAAAATGAGGGGGAGTTCAGAGTTGTCGCAATCTATTTGATTTGACGTTAAACCAATCAAAACTTGGTTTGATTGAAAACTTTTAGGTCAAATGATAAAATTATATTTGAAGTAAAATTTGATTTTAACTCCTCTAAATGAGAAAGTAATATTTTATTAAGGAGATGTTATAATTATTACTATTTTTCTTACTATTTATTATTATCAAATCTTAATCGTTGATTTTCATCGATCTAACGATTATAATTTATTAGAATTAAAATTAATTAATAAGTGTGATCCAATAAATTATAACAGTTATTCTTGTAATAATTAATAAAATTAAGTTTGTGTGTATTTGCAGGAAGATTAATTTTTAATATTAATTTACTTTTAATCTAACTTCAAGATAAAGTCATATCTTATTGTTGTTTTATATATAAAATTATTTTTATTAAATACTATCAAAATAACATTCAATACTTTAAAGTATTTTAAATAAATATTTTAAACACAAATTAATCAGTCAAATAATTTATTTTTAATTAAAATCAATTCCTGTAAAATTAAGTTTATCTAATATCTAAGTTTACTAAATATGATACAAACGTTTCGTCGTTGTTGCAGCGTGGGTGAAGTTCAAGTGGCTGGTAGACTTGACTTTCCCCCCTTTTCTCATGACTAAACGTTGGGCGTTGCATCTAAAATAATACCATATGGTGCTGTAAGAATGGTTGTTAAATTTTCAGAATTTGGGATAACAATGACTGAACTGAAGTATTCACGGAACAAAATCAGGACGCGTCATCATTATTCACACTGCACTCCGCACTCTGCAGTATAAAGTTGATTGCCCATCATCACTTGTTTACGCTGTGTTGGTCTTATTTTTCACGAGCATACAAATTGATATGTATACTACGAGTGTCGAGTTCGCATTTAAGAAGTTATTCGAATTTAATTTATTACATATTTGATTAAATTTGTTTTTTATTAAAAATAATTTAACTTGACTTTAAATTTGATAATATAAATAAATCAAATTTAAGCTTTATATTAGAAAAAAATTTATTGCTTAATGTAGCCAGGAGCTTGCACCTCCAATATAGCTAGGGAAAAAAGAAAGGAAAAAAAAAAATTTGATATGGGATCCGTGGAGAGCTGTGGCCTGTGAGCATGTAGTTAATCTTAATCAATTACCTTAGCGTAGTTGGTGGGTAGAAATAATTTAGTCTATCAAGATCGATCTAAGTTAGAGCCTTTAGATTTTTTTATTTTTTTTTTAAGTTAGAAGTTACTTATAAGTTAAAGTTAAATTTTTTTTTTATTTAAAAAAGCTAAAAGCTGTTTGGTAATTACATAAAAGTTGTAGTTTAAATGCACATATTTCAAGAAATTTATTTCTCTTTCTATCTTCATAACTCTTCATTTAAAAAAAAACACATAATTTTAAAAAAACACATAATTCAAGAAAAACAGATAACAGCTTAAAAAAAAGCTTCTTCTAAGAGCTTTTAGGGTCCATTTGGATGAGCTTTTTTTTTTCTTCAAAAGCTGCTTTTTTTCAAGAAAAAAAGCACTTTTCGTTTTTAGTTCGTTTGGATGTCTGCTTTTAAAAAAAGGAGAAGTCACAAAAAAGCCAAAAACTTACTTTTCTCAGAAGCTAAAAATTTTAAATTCTCAGAAAAGCAGAAGTCAAAAGTCAAATATTTTTTTTCAAAAACTAAATATTTTTATAAAAATATAAATAGCTTTAACTTTTGTAAAAAGTACTTTTAAAATAAGAAAGTAGTAAAAGTTACTTTTTGAAAAAGCTAAACCAAACGACCTCTTAGTTTTCAGCTTTTTTTCTTCATTATAAAAAAAGAGCTTTTCATTATAAGAGTTTTTCGCAAAACCTGTTTAGCCTAACTTATACTTATAAGTAGCTTCTAACTTAAAAAGAAAAGAGGATCCAAACAGACACGTAATCTCCTAAGAGAGCATCTGGTAGAGGAGAAAAAAAAATTTATCCAAAAATCATGATTCCCGAAAATATAATGGGAATGTTAGTTTTTCGGAAATATTACAAAAAAATTATTTGGTAAGACAAAATATTTTGGGAAATATTGAGTTATTTTTTTTTTTTTTGGTAAAGAGTTAATTTTTTTTATGCTATATTTGGTTATTTTTGTCTAAAAAATTAATTCATATTTTTCTCATCATCTGTGATTTCTGAAATACCACCCTATGGATGGTATTTTTTGATGGTATTTTGGTTTAGAAAATACACACAAACAGAATTCCTAGAAAATAACTTTCTCGGAAAAAATTTCTCCAATGTACTGCCAAACATGGGATTCTAAAAAACTCACCCTCACTTTCCCAGACATCTAAAAATAATCCTCCTACCAAACACATCTCGGGACGTTTGGTAGAGGAGATATTTTTTTTACCGAAAAATAAATTTCCGGTAATATAATGAATTTTTTTCCTAGTAAGTTACGAAAAAATGTTTAGTAGGCCAATTTTTTTTCAGGAATGTTGAGTTAATTTTACTGATGCTATTTTCGGTTGATTGTAAAATATTAATAAGAATCTGAATTGAAATGACAAAATTATCCATTATTTTGAATATTGAATCTCTTGTCAGTCAACAAAAGTTCATTGTACCATGGCATTTTCGTCTCAAAATATTGTTACGCATTTTTCGGCTGGTGGGAAAAAATTAATACCATGAATGGAATGGTATTATTTTTGGGAATGTGTAGTTAAAAATAAAATGATAAGAAAAAAAAATCCTGAATTTATTTTTACTTTTACTTTTACTTATATCAAATATGGGAAAAATTTCCACCCCACTTTTTCAGTATTTCAAGAAAAAAAAAAAAAAACTTATACCACACAAGTGTGCACTAGAGGGCCGGATGCACTTTTAGTGAGTCCATGGCAAAATTTAAATAGGAGTATTGCAAACTTATCACCCACAATAAATATTTAGACTTTTATGTGAGAATTAACGGATAACTGATGATGGGTTAATTAAAGTTAAATAATGAGTGATGATAAAGCTGTAGAAATAAGTACAGGTAATGGCTCTTGAACTCTCCTCCTGCTCCTCCTGGGAGATAACTGGGTCTGTGTTCACTTATATATACGTAAGAAACTCTGTTCAAGACATAATGCAAACATTGATCTATCTCTTAACCTATTTTATTGAGAGGCCAAGTGACCTGCACAGCATGAATTGATCGGAGAAGTGAATAATAGGAAAACATACAAAATCTAATTAATTTGTTCAACTGAAACCTCTAAGAGCAGTCAGCTGATACATTTATTAAC